GCTTCCTGGCCATCCGGTGAAACTGCTGGGAAGACAGCGTTGGAGAAACGTGAACATTTTATTTGTACTGTATAATCTGCAGATTCTGACAGAAATCTGCAACTATCATTTGAAGCACCGCTCCTCTAAAACAGTCTGACTATTTTACAGAATAGACAATATAAACATATTTAAAATTAAAGGTTTTGTCAACTATTGGTGCAGTTTGTGGTGAGGGCAATTTGTGTTTAGTCAGTTTACAGATATAAATTCCATGTACTTGAAGTCACCTAAACTGTGACAATCTGTATATGGACTGTGAAACGTTGTGCTAAAAAACTCAGTTGTCAGAGTCCACTGTTCTCGCCGGCTCTAGTGAGCCTTGACCTCCCGGTCAGTGATTGAACTGGTGGGGTAACAGACATCTCTGAAAATATCAGAGCACTTTTACAAATATGAGTAATTAACAAGGTCGGAAACACTAAAGTAAGGGCAGTGTGGGGTGCACAGAACCGGAGGGATATGTGGTGTCTTGATAAACAGAGCAGATATTTGAAGTTTACTCAGCTACATTCTCACTTGAAAATATCTTAAAAGTTTATTTTGTGACCCAGAAACAGTAATATTTCTAACTTTTTAGGCACTATCCTCCACCATTGCCACGTTTGAGTTTGGACAAAATGCATTCTGGGATATTTGGCTGCACCAAGTCCACACAAGTCACCACCGATGCATGCTCGATAAAATAGGAGGAGCAATAACACATTTGGCTTGATGCGTATTCTGAATTGGAACATTACTTTGTCTGTGACTGATGACGTATCACAAGTCCAACGAGAATGCAAGTACACACAAGTACGCATATTGAGAATGGCCATTGTCACTGAAAGCTCCGTGTCAACTGACGAGAGAGAAGCCTATGAGGCAAGCTGCCAGTGCCTCAGCTTTTACTGTTCTGAGATCAGCCAGGACCTGCAGTTCATTTTGAAACATGGCTAGCATTAGCAAGTAAATGCACTTAAGTGATTGAGCATCGTAACAGATGTCTTTCCTCTTGCTAACCACCTTGGCCAGTATGTGTGATACACAGAAGATGGTGTTTGAAAAAGTTATCAGTAACTGCTTTAGTGCATTAGCAAGGAAAGCTGAAATGATGAAGATGGAGACGGACAGCAACTCTGACCATGTCCATCAAACAGGCAAGTTGAGCAGGTGCAGTCTCAGCAGCACTTTTAGATTAGCATCTATGAGAATGTCTGAATGGAATACATTTAACTAGCTGGTTTGTCAACACTCCACCTTCAGTTTTCATTCATATTTTAATTCTCTCTATAGATATTGATCGTTAACCTTATCATACCTCCCACCTACCTAGAGGTCATCACAGAACAGCCACTACAAAACTATGTTTTATAGAATATGATGTTGAACATTAAAAAGCATAAAAAGTATTTAAAATCGGCTCAGTCTTAAACATGTGTAGCAATGGTATTGATCCATTTAACACTGATGGGGAATATGTTTTGAAGAATAATTATTTTAATTTTGATACTTAATGCACAATTTTCCAGTAATAGTTTGTGTTCTGAAGGGTTTTCATACAATTGCACTGCTTCTTTTTCCAAAGGAATGGTTTAAAAAAATCCTCCACCACTTATCATTTTAAACTAATAACAAATAATTTTTGGTAATATATGATACTTACTTGTAAGTCACGTCAGATATACTGGGCATATCATTGCTGACCAATGCAAGTGATGATGGACTTGGAGTATACTGCACTTTGACTGACAATTTAATTTTGTGTCACAGTTAGTTGAAGCTGACTGTGTGGCGTGAGAAGGACGACCCAAGTGCTGACATGCGAAAAACAAAACTTTATCTTAACAGGAAGCGAGACGTTTATTTAAGGCTGGTTAACAGTAGAAAACAAAAAGGAAAAGGCGAAACTAAACAATAACCTAAACTGGGAGAACTAAGCCAAAACATAAAAAAATCTGAAAGATGAACATGAACATGGAAACCTGGCATGGAAAAAACCTGGAATGTGAAGATTTGGCATGAGCAAATGAAGATCTTCATGGCAGCATGGCAGACAAGGAACCTCAGAGGCTAAATACACACAAGAGGTAATCAGGGGGAAGTGCAAACACATGGAGAAACAGCTGATACGAATGAAAATAATGACGACACAGGGGAAGTAAAACTAAACACACTGAACATGGAAACACCAAACTCTTCAAAAATAAAACAGGAAACATAATGGGATGCAGACATAACACTATAACTACACACAGAGGGAAAAGTGGACTGGAGATGAGACATGGACAAAACTAAGCGCAAACAGAACATAATGGCGGGGG